ATTATTGAAATTTTTTATAATCATAATTTTTAGTTGGCATCTTAAAAACAACTCCTAAAATCCAAATAAAAAATTCATTTAATAAATTGTTTTATGAATAAATCTTTATTTATGCTATTTTTTATTTTTTATTTTATTTTTTTTAATATTTTACTTAATTATTAAATGTCTAATGATCTACATTTAAAAATTCTATTTTTTGTTTCTTCTTCAAGTTAATTTTCTTTTGCTTTTATTTTATATTAATACTCTTAATACTTTCCTTTTAATACTGAAACTTAATCTAATATATTGCTATATTCATACCTTAAATTATTATATTCTTCTTATAGCTTTCTTTTTTTATTTTTTTCGAAAATAAATATTGATTACTTCAAGTTGTTAATTTTAAAAATCTTGATATTATAAGTCGTTTTCCTTTAAAATTTCTTTTAATAGATCTACTCTTTAAAGCATTTTATTTTAAATTAAAAATTTAAAATATAAGTTTTAAATAAATTATAATAAATAAAATTATAATATATTATAAATGATATAATATGAATATATATTTATATGTATAAATATATATATATATTTTTATATATATTTTTATTAAATATATTTATATTTATATATTTTTATATATATATATTTAATTAATTATATTTATTTACTATTTAATTATTAAAATATTTTTTTTCAAATATTTAAATTTAATATTCTATTTATAATTATTTGTATATATTTAAAATTTGTTTTGTTCTAAAAAAATATCTAAACTATTTTAAATATATGTTTAAAAAATATAGACTGCTTAATTATTAAATAATAAATATTATTAATTTATAAATTAATATTGTTCAAATATCATCACATTTTATAAAATTTTAAATATATTTAAATTTAATTTATAATTTTAATTTATAATCGTTTTTGTTGATTTTTATTTGCTTACTTCTTTAAATATTAGAATTTAAATAAAAATCTATTTTAAGGATAAAATACTAAATAATTGTTTTAAATTGCTATTGTTAGAAATAGCTTTTAAGTTTTGGAAAAGTTTTAATAGAAATTAATTTGAATATAAAAGTTAAGAAAAACATATTGATTGAAGTTAGTATTAGTTTAAAGATTGATTTTTTAGTTATTATACATTTATAAAAAATTTAAATTAATTTAAAATAAATATAAAAACATTGATGATATATTATTGAAAATTTATTTAATAGCAAAATATATTTACAATAATTTGAAGCTTAATAAATATAAATATTAACAATTAATAATTTTTATGATCTATTTATTTATAATATATAAATTTTTTATATAATTAATATATTCATTTTAATATATAAATATAAATATTGATATTTAATTATTCTATTTAATTTTATATTATTAAATTTCTTTTTGTTTCAGTATTTTTTATTAATAGTTGATCATTATATTTTTTTGTAGTTTGATTTTTTCGATATTTTTATATTAATTATTTAAATTTTTTTATATTAATTTTATATTCCAAATTTTTATAAATAAAAATTATCTAAAATTGGAATTAAAATCATTATTTAAAAAACAGTAAAAAAATAAAATTAGCATTTTGATATTGCAAATATTTATTAATTTTATATAATCTATATAGTTTTTTTTTTTTTAATACTTAATTTATAAAGATTTCATATTTTAGCATTAGTTTTTTGTTAAAAATAAAATAACTGATTATTTCCTTTTAATTAATATTTTTTTATATTTATAATTAAATATTTTATATTTATTTCAGTATTTTTTTTGTTAGATTAAAATATTTATTCAAGTTTTTTGATATTTATTTATTATTTAAATTAGTTTATTATATTTATTATTTTCTTAAAAACTTTATAAATAATTTAATATTATTTAAATTTTTATCAAAGGTAAAAAATATTAAAAATAAAATTAATAAAATTTAAAATATATTAGTATTTTTTAAATATTTATTTTGAATTAAAATTCTGATGTTTACTGAAAATATACTTTACTATAATTATTTATTAAAAGAACATTTTATTAAATTAAATATAAAAATAAATAATATTCTTTTATAAATAAAAATTAAATTAAATATTATATTTTTATTAAATTTTAATAAACTTATATAATAAAAATAAATTAATATAAAAAAAAAAAAAAAAAAAAAAATTAATATTAATTTAAAAAACTAAATATTAATAAAAATAAGTTAAAAAGAAGCAATTGTGATATTTTGATATTTAATTAATATTTTATGTATAAAGTAAATATGATTTAAATAAAACACCAAATATTTTAATAATTTTTTCAATTAATTTTTTAATTTAAATATTTTAAAATGTTTTTTTCTAAATTTCATATATAAAAAATAAAAAATACAAAGATAAATAAAAAATAAAATATTTAATAATTTTAATTAAAAAAAAAATGAATTAAAAATAATGTCCTAATCATCCTTTAGAAAAAGCCACATTAATAAATATAACCGAAAATCCGGAATATGATTATAGATTAGGCTGTATTAAATGCTTATAAGAAAATAAAAAAAGCAACAATATATATCCATACCTGAAATATTCGAAAATTAAGGATCTAATTTTGGAGATTTTCCTCCTTTAGGAAAAAATATAAAAGATTAAATAAATTTTTTAATAAAAAAAGATTTAATTCAATAAATAAAATAGTTTTATGAAAAAATAGAAAAATAAATAAATTAATTAAAAGAAATTGCTTTAAAAGTAGTTAATTCCTGTTTTTCTGAAATTTAGTTTGTTTATAAGAAATATGAGGATATCGAGACTTTAAGTAATATAATAAAAAAGAGTTAAAATTTAGATATAGAATTAAATGAATTTATTAAATAAAAATATTAATAATAAAATGAAGTTGAGAAAGTTCTATAAAATAAAATTAATAATTTCTAATTTGAATTTAATTATATTAATTAATAATAAATTTCTAATTTAATTAATAACCTTAATACATTATCATTTTTAATCAAAAAGGATGTTTCTCATTTATAGATTAGTTTTTTGAAAACCATTTATAAAGACTCCTAATTATTAAGTATTATTAATCTAGAAAATAATATAACAGAAATATACTGCAAAGAGGCTTTAGGTCAAGTTTATAGTAATATAATCTTAGATTCCAAAAAAAATACTCATTTGTTTTTGAAATTTAAAAAGGAGTTTTCGATTTTGTTGTTTTAGGGCTAGTTTAGGATCAAAAAATTAATTAAAATTTCCCTTTTACAGATAATAATGACCATTTAAAGATTTTCGGGTAAAAAGGAGCATACTGTAATAAAATTATAAAAGGAAACAAAAATCTAGAATTCGAGGATATCAATAAAATATTAATGGAGGTCAGTATAAGTGAAAATAAACTAATTTTTAGTGATTTTCCGTATAAAAACATAATAAATTGTTACGATTTTTAATTTTAGGAATAATTTTAATATAGAGTTGGTATTGTTTTAGGCGGAAAAGATGAAGTTTTGGTTAAATTAGTCGAGGCTGTTTGCATAGAAGATGTTTTTGTGTGAAAAAATATTAGAATTGTTATGTTATTTATATCTTTACTTTAGTTTGTTTTTTATTTTTTACTCTTTTTTTTATATTTAAAAACTAAAGATTGTTTAGAATATAATATATATTTTTTTATATAAATATATTTATATTTTAATATAAAATATAATAAATTATGTATTCTATTATATAAAAAAATAAAAAATATAAAAATTTAAATATTTAATATATTTTAATAAAAAAATAAATTCTCCTATTAAAGTTAATCACTTTATAAAAAAATTATTTTAGAATCTATTAAAAAAATAAACTGAAAAAAACTTAAATAAAAATATAGAATAAAAACTATACTATTAACTTATAAATGGGTTGTAAATGAAGATTCTTGAGTGTAAGCCAAAAAATAAAAATCCAGTAATAAATACAAAGGTTTAAAGAAAAACAGGAAGAATATATAAAAAAGTAGTTAATTATTTATTTATTTAAAAAAAAAAACTAGACATATATATTTCTAAATAGAAGGTTCCTATACGAAATAAAGTTTTAACGAGAATTTTAGAGAAAATAATAATAAGTTTATAGTTTTAAAATATTATAACTAAAGTTTATATTTCCAAAATTTTTAGAATAAAATATTTAGTTTTTTTAAGTGAAAAACATAAGGATGTAAAAATTTTACATGAAATAAATATTATTCATAGAGATTTCACATTTAAAAATAGTTCATATTTAAAAAAATTAAAACCGACTTGCTATTATAGACTTTGGATATTCATATATATAAGAAGATCAAATTTTTTAATCGCTTTTAGGTACTTTAGCTTTTAAATCTACTTTAAGAATTAAAAAGAAAGAATTTACTAACTTAAAATTATATTTATGGACATTAGTAACTATTTTATACTATTTAATTTATTAAAAATTCAATTTTTAAGTTTAATTTAGAAAACTTTTTATAAATTATAGAAAATATGAAAAAAAAAATAGATTTTATGTAAGTTTTTTTTAAATAGTCAATAATTATTTTAAAAAGCTGATTAAAATAAAATCAAAATTAAAGATTTTTTTAGGGAAAAATTCTTTGAGATTTTAGAGGATATCATACAGTGTTTTGTAATATACTTAAATATCTGATTTATTTAATATAGTTTTAAAAAAATTTTTATAAATAAAAGACTAGAAAATACTAAGTTAATTGATTTTTATGATTCTAAGTTGAGCATTTTCATTTTAATATGTATAAAAAAGGAGTATTAAAAATATTTCATTGACAAATAATTTTTTTATTTAAAAGCGGAGAAAAATTAGGGAGATTAGGTGAATTTAAGAAATTTTATTATAATATATAATAATTAGTTAAAAGATAAAAAAATTGAAAAAGGGGAAATTATTTTGAATAAAAATAAAAAATTAATTGAAAAAAAAATATAAATATATATATTAATAAAAATAATTAATATTTATAAATGTAAAAATAAGCTGTAATTGTTTTCGGAGCATCTCGGGGTATAGGAGAAAATATGGCCTTTAATTTATTTGAAAAAAAAGGCTATTGTTTATGTATTTTAGGAAAAACATTACATAGCAGCTAAAATGGTAGTTTAACTGATTTAAAAGAGAAAATTATTTAAAAAGGAGGTGATTGTATTGCTATAAAATGTGATGTTTAAGATGAAAAATAGGTCTAAAATGCACTTGATACTGCTCGGGATTATTTTTCAAAGAAAAACGTGAAAATAACGTGTATGATATATAATACGGGTGCAATTTTACATGCTAAAGTTGAAGAAACTAACCTTAAAAAATACGATTTATTACATAAAGTAAATGCAAGAGGGTGTTATTTAGCAATATAAGAAACTTTAAAAATCTTTAGGGAAACGCCTGCATTAAAATGTACAATAATAGTATAATCACCTCCTATTTATTAAAGATTTTTTAGAGGAAAGACTATATATGCTATGTCGAAAATCGCTATGTCAGTACTAGTTAGGGGATTATCTTTTGAATTGGAAAATTCGAATATTTGCATAGTTTCTATTTGGCCAGCTACAGGAATCGAAAGTGCAGCGACGGAAAAATACGATAAAAAGCTATTAAGAAAAGCAGATATTATGAGTGAATGTGTTTTAAAAATACTTGAAGATGAAAATAAATAAAAATTAAATGGAAAATTTATAATTGATGAAGATTATTTAAGAGAAAAGGGTTATGAAAATTTCGAATAATTTAGGGCTTAAAAAAATTTCGAACCACCAAGAATGATGCCAAATACTTTTCCAGATTTGAAAGTAGATGAGGAAAAAATTGAAGTATTTAATATTAATAAACAGAGTAAATTATGATATAATGAATTTATAATTAAACAAAAAATTAATATTAAAAATAAATATTTTTTTAATTATTATATAATTAATTAAAAATATTATTTATAAATTTTTTAATATAAATATATGCATATAGATATAAAATATGTAAATATATTTTTAATATTTTTTTATATTAAAATTTCATATTATTCTTACAATAATTATAATATTTAATATATAACATATCATAAATAATTATATGTCAGTAAATATATATATTGGATTTTTTAAAAACACTAAAATCATATCTTAAATTTTTATTTTTTATTAATTGAAAAAATATCAAATTTTGATTTTTAGAATATATAAATTATTTTGTTAATAAATAAAATAAATTTTTAATATTAATAATTTTATTTATAAATGGAAAATATATATATATATATATTTT